CTAACATATTAATATACATGCAGATTTTGTAAATACTTGTAATCGTTTTCAGACATAGAATCTTTTAACAGTAATGTTTTTATAACAGTGTCTAAATGTGTAACATTTGTATTGCAAAAACATGATCTGTTTTTGCAATGTAGCTGTCATCTATTATCCTTCCAATGGAATACAGCGAATATGTAAATGAGTAAGAAAAAGTACAAAAGGACCGAGATGAGAAGGTAAAAGAAAATGTGGAAGTGGCTCAACAGAAAATGAAGGAAGCATATGCAAATAGGGCAAACAAAAAATACAAACATTTTACATTCAAAGAAGGGGATGAGGTGCTGTTGTACAATGTAAGAAAAAGAAGTAGAAAAGGAGCCAGGATGGAGCGTGACTATTCTGGCCCATACACAATCCAGCAACTCTTGGGCAAGACTGCTATGCTGACAACTATGACAGGGAAACACTTGAAAACAAAGCACAGCATCACTCACCTAAAGCCCTACAAAAGAGGCAATGTGGGACACAAGGAAGCTGGGCCAGATGAACCACCAACAAAAATTCAAAAACTTGAATCAAGTGAGAAGCAAGAGAGGGAGTCAGTTATTAAGTACGTGGGCAAAACCCATCTGGTGGGGAAAACTCAAAATCAGCACTCCGACAAGGTGATCCCTCCCTTTTCCAAGTTGTCTCCCTCGCCCCCTCCCAGGATGTCTCCCTCACACCCTCACATAATATCTCCCTCGCCCCCTCCTGAGACATCACCCTCACCCCCTTCAAACATGTCTCCCTCGCTCTCTCCCTGGAGGGTTCCTTCACCCCCTCCCAAGACAACTCCCTCACCCCCCCTGAGCATGTCTCCCTCGCCCCCTCCCAGGATGTCTCCCTCACACCCTCACATGATGTCTCCCTCGCCCCCCCCCCCTCCCAGGATGTCTCCCTCACACCCTCACATAATATCTCCCTCGCCCCCTCCTGAGACATCACCCTCACCCCCTTCAAACATGTCTCCCTCGCTCTCTCCCTGGAGGGTTCCTTCACCCCCTCTCAAGACAACTCCCTCACCCCCTCATTGCACATCTCCCTCACCCCGTCCCAAGACTCTGCCCTCACTCCCTTTCAAGACATCTCCTTCGCCCCCTCCCATGATGTCCCAGAAAACATTGCAGCAGCAAGGTGCAGTAGTACTGCAAACTAAAAAAAGTTTTTGGCCCTGTTGGCCATTGGTTCAGACCGGTTGGTCAGTTATTTGCATGTTTGTTTACTGCCTGCTACTGCTCATGTATGCACAAATTCACATTGTTCCTAAAAAATGTGTGTGTATATATATATATATATATATATATATATATATATATATATATATATATATGTATATGTATGTATATATGTATGTATGTATATATGTATGTATATATATACATACATATATACATACATACATATATACATACATACATATATACATACATACATATATACATACATACATATATATATACATACATACATACATATATATATATATATATATATATATATATATATATATATATATATATATATATATATATGTATGTATATATGTATGTATGTATATATGTATGTATATATATAATATATATATAATATATTTACCTTTTTTTTGCAGTACTTAAACTTTGGTCTTTGAAAGACTCTGGCCAAATAGAAGCCCTGGTTGGTCCATACAAACTGTATGATGCATCTTTTCGTACACTATGTGGACATGGGTGGCTGTCAGATGAAGTAAGACTACTTTCTCTTGGAAATACACATTTTTCCAATGCTGTGGATCTAGAAAATAATTTAAAGCTGCTATTTTTTTTAAAAGATCCTAGATGCTTATCTCCATCTCATTGTGGAAAAAGGCAAGGTATAGATATTTTGTTCATAAAATATATATCCATTATTTGCATTTTGTAATGATTAAATCATACACAATTATGTTTTATTTCAGATACCAATATACCGCATGGATGCAGTAATTGGATCATCTTTATTTCATCTAGGGCAGCACAGGGCTTTTCGAAAAGTAAGTATTTGCTATGCTATACTCCCGTCTAAGTAAATATTAATCAAAACTAACAATGTTTTTTGTCATTTATAAAGATGGCGTTCCCAGAAGCCTCGATTTGGTTGTGCCCTGTAAATGTCGGTGGTCATTGGATTTTAGTGGTATGTTATCTTTGTTCCCAGAACTACATCAATCAATCTTCATGTGGATACTTTTAAAAAGTAACAGATGTCATACTTAATGAACAGCTTGTCAGGATGGATCACAAGGAGGTTATTGTGATTGACCCCCTTGGCCATGAGAGGACTTACCAAAGAAGAATTCTCCGTAATTGGAGGTAGTGTGAATCGGGTCACCATAAGTAAGTTCCTAAGTTGTTTTTATTGTGCTAACAATGTCACTAATTTAAGTATTTACGCTACTACATAGGAATTTCTTGAGAGCCAAAGATGCCAGACAGGGCAACTGTAAGGTCAAAACTCTGCCGCATGGCCTGCAGCCCGATGCCAGCAGTTGCGGGGTCTTGATTTTGAGGGTACCAAGAATACAAATGCAATAATTTTTGTAAATAAGATTTGAAATTTAAGATAAAATTTTTGTGTAGTTTGCAGAAAGCTTCTTGCAGGTGGGAGATCTGCAGTCTGTTAGCAATGGACCTGCTCAAATGTTCCAGGACAGGATGGACATTGCAACAAAACTGCTGCAATGCAAAGGTGAAAAATACATATAGCATACAGTTTCAGTCATTTACACATTCTTATTTTTTTAATATTGTCTCTTTAACCCTCTGGGATTAAGCTAAGATGTTTGGACATGGTGTATGGCAGACAAGACTTAGTTTGTGCATGCACAAAGGATACATTTTGAGATGTAATAGAATATTGGATTACAGGTATGGTATATGGATGTGTTAAATGAGGACATGGTAAGTGTCACGATTACAACATATTCTTCAAAACGAGCTATTATTTTAGTTAAAATTCAAGCTAGACAGTTGGGTTGAAGCAGAACAGTTTGGCACTTTTAAATCATGAAGCCCTGGTAATGGGGGGAAAACCCCAGCCTACCAGAGGCATGAACAACTTGCCCTTTATGTAGTCAGTGAAAACAGACATGAAGACTCAGCACAGTCATGGGTGACCTGGAAGCAGTGGCAGCAAGAAGGAGCATGTGTGAAGGGGCAAACACAATACCCTTTGCTGATAATTAGACAGTTCATTGAAATCAGGTGTGGGTGAGATCATCCTGCTACATTTACCTTGCTATATTTAGTCTGATTGTGTTCAAAGAAATTCTCATTTGTCTATCTTTATATTACAGATAAGGTGGAAGCCTACTGTGTTTCATGCAACATGTTGCACTATGACACATGGTAAAAACACAGCCATAGAATTTTATACTTCCAATGCTTTAAACATGAACTTATAACTGATTTTTTTCCATTCTGCCTCATAGATACAGTGCGACTTCTGTCCAAGATGGACTCACAAAGAGTGTGCCACCCATTTTGTTGACCTTTTCAAATGTAAAAAGTGTGAATTGCAATAAGTGTGTGTGTGTGTGTGTGTGTGTGTGTGTGTTTTACTTGGAAATAAAGTTTGTATTACCTTTCTTATAACTTTTAAGTTCTTCATGTTCAGCTTTTTATTCAAATGGAGACTGCTCTTTATAACAGGAATCAGTGAATCAACTATTCTGCTTTCTTTTGCCATTGCACCAACTTGGTGAGCTTCATTGGAAAAAAAATGTACTGATGAATGTGTATCGCAAATTTATTTTCACCACCTAATTCTAAAAAAAAAAATTCATTGAGCATCAAGGATGTCATACCGTTGTCAAAAACAAAAGGTATGACGATCCGACTGTTAAACCACCCATCAGGATGTCATACCGTTGTCAAAAACAGAAAGTATGATGATCTGACAAGTAAAACCACCCATCAGGATGTCATACCGTTGTCAAAAACAAAAGGTATGACGATCCGACTGTTAAACCACCCATCAGGATGTCATACCGTTGTCAAAAACAGAAAGTATGATGATCTGACAAGTAAAACCACCCATCAGGATGTCATACCGTTGTCAAAAACAAAAGATATGACGATCTGACTGTTAAACCACCCATCAGGATGTCATACCGTTGTAAAAAATAAAAAAAGTATGACGATCTGACAGGTAAAACCACCCATCAGGATGTCATACCGTTGTAAAAAAAAAAAGGTATGACGATCTGACTGTTAAACCACCCATCAGGATGTCATACCGTTGTCAAAAACAAAAGGTATGACGATCTGACTGTTAAACCACCCATCAGGATGTCATACCGTTGTAAAAAATAAAAGTATGACGATCTGACAGGTAAAACCACCCATCAGGATGTCATACCGTTGTAAAAAAAAAAGAAAAAGTATGACGATCTGACAGGTAAAACCACCCATCAGGATGTCATACCGTTGTAAAAAAAAGTATGACGATCTGACAGGTAAAACCACCCATCAGGATGTCATACCGTTGTAAAAAAAAGAAGGTATGATGATCCGACTGTTAAACCACCCATCAGGATGTCATACCGTTGTCAAAAACAAAAGGTATGACGATCTGACAGGTAAAACCACCCATCAGGATGTCATACCGTTGTAAAAAAAAGGTATGACGATCTGACAGGTAAAACCACCCATCAGGATGTCATACCGTTGTAAAAAAAAGTATGACGATCTGACAGGTAAAACCACACATCAGGATGTCATACCGTTGTAAAAAAAAAAAAGAAGGTATGATGATCCGACTGTTAAACCACCCATCAGGATGTCATACCGTTGTCAAAAAAAAAAGGTATGACGATCTGACAGAGTATGCCTGTCTGACTGACAACATCTGTCAGACAGGCATACTGTGTAATCCGGGTATGCCAGTCTGACAAGGTATGGCGACTGGACAGAACACCGGCCCTGGAACAGAGTGTATCTGCTACTGTTTACCTATTGTCTGTGGAGCATCTGCATAAGGATAGTCTCTGGAGTAAATCCCTCTGTCAGTGGCCAGCATGGCGTCAAACACTCTGTCATTGCGGATAACTCCATGATCTGATGGAAAATGAAGACAGAGGAAAACTTACTGGAGAATGTCCCCTTCCTGTCACGCGACCTAGGATTCCCCAACAGTGTTTCAACGTGTTCCCATGAGAAATACCATGACATAATAAAGATCTCTGCGTAAACATGCACATATACAAACATTTGACATTACCTCTGAGTCTGCTGATGAGCTCTGAATGCGTTTTGCCACTGGACATCCACGCCATGGTGCGGGACAGCAGCACACCCATGGGAACTGCAACTACAGCCAGGCGTAACGCCGCTCGCATCTCCAACATTGGATCTCCCTGCAGCCCTGACAGCTCGACATACAGACAAACCTAGTGTTCAAGGGTGTGTGTACTACATTTAAAAGCGTGCACAACCAAGTTGTGCTGCCTGCAAATTGCTCAGAATTAACAGCTGGCAGTTCCTGCTGTCTCTCTGAGCCAGCGAGCTAAGCCGTTTAATTGAACCCAGCTTTCTAAAAAATAAAATAAAACACTGCTACCTAGCGAATGTTGTTTACGTTACAACCAAATAACCTTATATAGGTCATTAACTGTTGTTTACCTTGTTAGTTGGTCACCGTCGCTTTAAGATAAGAAACACTTCCTGCTTCCGTGTTTTAAAAACAGTTTTGACCAATAGGATCTAAGAATTTTCAGAGTGGGCCTTCATTGTCCAATCATATTGGAAGATAATTTGATTGGCAACAATAATGTCCAATCACATGACCCCGAAAGGAGCGCAATCACAAAATTAGTTACTGAAGCTAAGCTCCAACCTCCTGCTATAAACACAAGCAGAAATAACCTCTCGGTGGTACCACGCAGGTAAGAAACACCAATACCTATAATAACATGATTATAAACTGTCTGTAGAAGAGTTTAAACCAGTGTTACGTATATATAAAGTCGATTAAACACCAGCATAGCTCATATCTGTATAATTCAAGCTAACTATTTATATCGGTGTTTAAGAAATCTCATTTTAGTGTCGTCGAATTATGCAGTTAAACAGTAATCAACTTTAGTTGGACAAGAGGACTGATGTGTGACATCTGTTCAGCTCTCGATGAAAATGATCGACGATTTCGAGAACCAGGAGGTTCGGTCCAGCGGTGAGCTTTGGTCGGAAGTCTGCTCCAGCCTGCCGGAGGTCCAGTCAGAGGCAGCTGCCGAGAACAGCACCGATTTCACTGACTCCTTTCATCCTGCAACGCAAGATGATGAGGTGCAGGTCAATGGGCGTTTAAATGGGACCAGTACCAGCGCATCCAGTGCTAACTGGGAACCAATGGAGGACTCTGACGTTTATATTGCCAGTTTAGGTATTTACCAGCTTCTGTCATGTCAGTAACGTTATAAGTGAGTTACACACCTGTCTTCCTGTCAGTGAGAGAAATTTTTTAAAAGAAACCCATAAAATATAGATGTTACACATCTGTTAACCTGCCATTTATTTTGAGAAAGCAGATTTTTATTACCACAAGTTAACATTTTTCAACATTTACAAACTTAAAACCTGACTGAAAAGTAATTATTAATTCATCAACTGTCTGGTTGAAATAAAATGACTGATTTTTAGATCAAAGCCCAACAGCTATAAAAGGCTGAAGCTCTCCAATGAAAAGTGAGAAATTTTCACTTTTTAAATAAAAAATGACTTAAACCAGTTCATTCTGAACACATGTAGGTAATTTCATCAATCAAGTCAATTTTAAAGGACCATGAATGTGTGTGTTATGATTAATCAGCTGCAAAATAATGACTGTATTTTTCTTCATCTTTCAAAAAGTTGGTTGGTTTTTATTTAAGGCGTTAAAGTGTTGGTTTTGTTTGCATTTTCTTGCAGAGAACCGCCTGAGGAAGTTAAAGGGTCAGTCCAGCGACGTGACCTCCAGAGATATCTTACGCTCTCTGTCTCAGGCTAAAAAAGAATGCTGGGATCGATTTCTGCATGATGCCCAGACCTCAGAGCTCTTTCAAGGCGGTGACATGGACGAGAGGTAAAACATGCATCAATCTAAATGCATGATTTTGAGATTTCAAAAATAAACAAATTTACCTTTAAAGTCACACAACCATTTGCTATTTTCTTGTCCCGCTTGCATCTCATAGTATTTGTTTTGAAATGTTCCCCCTGAGTTGGACCTTCCATCATCTCACCAATAATAACCTCTTGAATATGAACCTTTCCAGTGCTCTGGAACATTTCAAGAGGTGGCTAATCCCTGAGAAGGTGGCTATCAGCGCAGAGGAGCTGGAATATCTTCTTAGACCCTCTCGGGGAGAAGAGCCAACCGGATCAAATCAGACACAAAGCAGCGAAGACACAACAGGAGAGACGCACAACAGTGAGGAGGAGGAGGAGGAGGACACTCACAACCCAGAGAAATGAGTCTAATAAAGACAATTAGTGTAAAATATTATGTAAAGGAGATTTTCTCATGTTTGTTTGGAGCTGTTTTATGTTGAAGCAGTGTTTTTGGCCAAGCATTAATCCGCAAAAATAATTTATAAATAGAGTTTTCTAAGTCTTTGTCCTCTGTGTGCTCAGCAGCTGTGGGTTCAGTCACATCTGCACAACAATATGCAGATTTTAATGAGGCGTCATGTGTTGCAAGTGGAACTTATGAGTCACACAAAGTGCAAATAAAACATGTGCATGCCATGTGTGATTTACCTGTTCTGGTTTTTGTTGATATTTTGAGTTTGCATATACACTCACCTAAAGGATTACTAGGAACATCATACTAATACAGTGTTTGACCCCCTTTTGCTTTCAGAACTGTCTTACTTCTACGTGGCATTGATTCAACAAGGTGCTGAAAGCATTCTTTAGAAATGTTGGCCCTTACTGATAGGATAGCATCTTGCAGTTGATGGAGATTTGTGGGATGCACATCCAGGGCACGAAGCTCCCATTCCACCACATCCCAAAGATGCTCTATTGCGTTGAGATCTGGTGACTGTGGGGATCATTGTTGTACAGTGAACTCATTGTCATGTTCAAGAAACCAATTTGGAATGACTGGAGCTTTGTGACATGGTGCATTATCCTGCTGGAAGTAGCCATCAGAGGATGGGTACATGGTGGTCATGAAGGGATGGACATGATCAGAAAAGAGGCTCAGGTAGCCCATGGCATTTAGACGATGCCCAATTGGCACTAAGGGGCCTAAAGTGTGCCAAGAAAGCATCCCCCACACCATTACACCACCACCAGCCTGCACAGTGGTAACAAGGCATGATGGATCCATGTTCTCATTCTGTTTACGCCAAATTCTGACTCAACCATTTGAATGTCTCAACAGAAACTGAGACTCATCAGACCAGGCAACATTTTTCCAGTCTTCAACTGTCCAATCTTGGTGAGCTCGTGCACACTGTAGCCTCTTTTTCCTATTTGTAGTGGGGATGAGTGGTACCGGTGGGGTCTTCTGCTGTTGTAGCCCATCTGCCTCAAGGTTGTGTGTGTTGTGGCTTCACAAAAGCTTTGCTGCATTCCTCTGTTGTAACGACTGGTTATTTCAGTCAAACTTGCTCTTCTATCAGCTTGAATGTTGGCCCATTCTCCTCTGACCTCTAGCACCAGCAAGGCATTTTTGCCCACAGGACTGCTGCACACTGGATGTTTTTCCCTTTTCACACCATTTCTTTGTAAACCCTAGAAATGGTTGTGGGTGAAAATCCCAGTAACTGAGCAGATTGTGAAATACTCAGACCGGCCCGTCTGGCACCAACAACCATGCCACTCTCAAAATAGCTTAAATCACCTTTCTTTCCCATTCTGACATTGAAATTGTGTTGACCAGGACCACACCCCAAAATGCATTGAAGCAACTGCCATGTGATTGGTTGATTAGATAATTGCATTAAGGAGAACATGTGTTCCTAATAATCCTTTAGGTGAGTGTAAGTAATGTTTCATAGAGGCAGGGGTGCTGCCTTGGATTTTGGGCTTTTGCCTCTATAAACCTGTAACCTACTGTCAACCTTTCTCCTGTATAAAAGGACACACAGTAAATAAACGTATAAGGTTTCAGAGCCTATATCTTTTTTCATCCTTATTCTAAGAGATTCTAAGAACTGATCCTTCATTCTTGATGTAGATAAAAGGATCTGAAAGGCTAATGTCTGTAATCAGACATTTTGGTGGATATTCCATGGGATAAAATAATATCTAAATTGTGACTTATTGTTAGTATGTTGCATTAAATATTGGGTAAAATCAAGAAGTCTTAAGATTCGTAAAATAAACAGTAAATCAGACTGTTGACGTGAAGTAAAAAATCACATCACTTGTACTTTAGACATTTTTGGGAAGTCTTGAGTCATTTTTTCTGGAAGTGATGCTATCTAATATTAATGCTTTTTTTTTTTGCTCCAAACACTGATTTTGTGATAGCCTACGCCATCAGAATGCTTGTTATACATGCAGTAATGAGGAATGTTTGATAAATTGGGCAAAATTATATGAGGGTGTTTTCTCAGGGCACCAAACTGACTAGGACCACCCCTGGACCCATCCATCTATTTTCTGTACCTGCTTATCCACGTAGGGCTGCGGGGGGTGGGAGGGTGGGGTGGGGGGGCACTGGTGTATATGTCCAGCAGTCTCCAGTCAAGCAGGCGGGGTACACCCTGGACAGGTTGCCAGTCCCTCGCAAAGACACACAGGACAAACAACCATGCACTCACACCTAAGGACAATTTAGAGAGACCAATCAACCTGACAGTCATGCTTTTGGACTGTGGGGGGAGGCCGGGGTACCTGGAGGGAGCCTGGAAGGAAACTGCAGAAAGACCCCAGGCTAGGATTTGAACCCAGGACCTTGTTGCTGCAGGACAACAGCACTAACCACTGCACCACTGTGATTTTTTAACTGTTGCAGATTTGCAACATTTAAAACCTACCTACCTGGTTACTCCACATACGTATTTCATGATTATTTTTTAACTAAGAAGTACCCCTGAAGGACTTAGTTTGTCCTTTTATCAAAACTTGTTTTGAGCCTGAGAGGGTTAAACTCCTATACTTGGGGCAGGACCTCATCCCTGACCCGGAGAAGGCGTTCACTGGACTCGCAATCCTTAATTTAGCTATGAACATTTATTATGTTTGCTGCTGATCAAGATCGTAGTTTTTGCTAAATAGTTCAATTTTGAGATATTCAGTTTCCAAGCCTCAAATGTGACACCATTCAGTCACAGTTCAGGGTGAAGGAGAACATGCATGATTCAAATGACATTTTCTTAGCAGTCAGACTCTTCTATTAACTAATAAGATGTTTAAAGATGAGCTGTTTGAACTTATTAAAGGAAAATGACATTAAAGCTGAATTAAATTCCTCTAATATCTTCAAAATTACACAAATTTTATTACAACGCACACCCATAAATTTGATTTAAAATAAATACCAGTACTGTTTCCTTGAGGTGTGTTTATAGGAAAATAGGATTGTTTTTTTTTTCTGCCATGAGGGAGGTGACTCATTCACACAAACACATACTATGCGGTATGTGAGACACACACACACACACACACACACACAAACACACACACACACACACACAGTGAGAGGAACTCTTTATTCTAAAGCCGAGCAGGCTGCAGCGCAGACGTAAGCTGGACTCCTCACCAGAGAGGACTCAAACAGGTGCTGAGCTGTCCGACTGAAGCCTTTCGCAGGTACTTTAATATTAATATTGACGCTACATAATGGGAAAAGTCATTTAAAATTCCATATTTAATAATAAATGCATTTTTAGAAGTTTTAAAAGAGATGATGAATCAGATTGGTATCTTTAATATTTACATGCCATGATTCTGTGCAATTTTTTTCTAAGATTATACACAGAAAGGAAATTTTTTATTTGCAGGAATGCAAATTTCCTGATTGGGAATTCTTATGAGAACATGCCGGTAATTTAGTAACATAAATTGTCCCAGAGGGATTTTCTGGGCCTGACTGGATCATTAATACTCATTTATTTCTGACCTAGAACATAAAATTCAGCTGATCTGATCTTATTCTATTGATATAAAAGGAAGAAACTGAGAAAAGATCACCCTGTTCACATGTCAAAGTGACACCATTCAGCTTCATGCTATTTATATCCTCCTCATTCAATATTGCAGATGTAATTACAAAAGCCATTCATGTATTATGAGCTCTTTTCATGTTTTCTTTTCTTTGCTTTGCTTGGGCAAAACAAACCTTCAAATCCTCGTGATATTCAAAAAATGCAAATCAAACGTGTAATTTGTGACCGTTTCCATGCATAATCTCAGATTATTCCAGTACTTCCTGTTGCTCAGCTCAGATTTCACTTCACATTTTGTGTAAAAAGGCTTCTTCACACGTTCAGGATCACGATCCTCACGTGTTGTTTTGATTCAGCACAGAAAAGATGAGCGTTGAGGTGGACACCTCACTTTTGTCCTTCTGGGTTTTTTATTAAAGCAGCAAAGAAAAAAACAGATAAGATTCAAAGAGTCGAGGAGGGGAAAGCAAAGGTATTGTTAAAAGCAACAAAAAAGCTTTTTATTGAGACTGAAAGAGAGATTTGGAGCGTTTTTTCTACAAGTCTTTACGTAATTTGGTCTGATCCCGTAATAAAAAGCTTACATCCTCCTTTATCTCTGCAGCGATGGACTGGGAGAAGGCAGTGAATCACTCCTGGATGAACTCCTCTGCTCCAGCCTCCGACTCCTTCTCCTCTTTCTCTTCATCCTGCTGTAACTCTTCTCCTCATCTTTTCTCACCCTCGCTGTTTTCGGCTCCCTCCTTCTCCGGCTTTGACCTGCTGTTTAGTATGAAGCTGCTCTTCATCCCCCTCTACTCCGCAGTGGTCATAGTCGCGTGCACCGGGAACCTCCTCCTCCTCTTTCTCATCTGGCACAACAAAAAGAGACACAACACTACAAACTTCTTCATTGGTAACTTGGCACTTGTTGACCTGGTGATGTGCATCTTCTGTGTCCCCCTGACGGCGTCCTACGCATTCGACAGCCAGGGATGGGTGTTTGGGGCCCACATGTGTTATTTTGTCACGATCATGCAGTCCACAGCTGTGTATGCAGCGGTTTTATCCCTCATGGCCATTGCAGTGGATCGTTATATAGTTGTTGCTTATCCCATTCACAAAAGAGTGGGATGCCAGTTCTGCTGGGGTGTGGTGGTCCTGATCTGGCTGTCCTCCCTGGGATTGTCCACTCCTACAGCACTACACACCATCTATCTGGATCTGGATGCAACCGGTCTACAGATGGCGGTGTGTGAGGAGTTCTGGGATGGTCAGGAGCGAAGCCGTCTCATTTATTCCTGCTTCATCCTCTTCTTCTCCTACTTTGTCCCGTTGGCTGCAGTCTCCGTTTCCTACTGTGCCATCTCCTACAACCTAAAGCAGAGGACCTCTTCAGCTCTGACCGCATGTCCAGAGCTGAGATGCGCACGGGCCGCCTGGAGCAGACGGAGGAGGAAGACTTTCTGCCTGCTGCTGGCGTCTGTTCTGTGTTTTGCCTTCTCTTGGCTCCCCTTACAGGTGCATAAAACAGGAAATATGTTATTGAATTTACTGGAATGAAATATGTTGATCTGCAAATGGGGCAGTGGGGTGGCCAGCAATGTTACAGAGGGGGCCCTGGCCACCCCTTGTGGGTGCCTCTATTTGCAGGAAGTATGAAACTACAGGTAAAACTGTAAAAATGAGAAGAACATGGTGCAAAGTTTTGTTTATTTCAGTAATTCAGTTTAGACTGAGATACAATCTAAAGGCTCAATAACTCTTTGCAGGTGTTTTAGATTCATTAGCAGATTAGAGTGACACTTTGTCTCTAGAACATTGAAACTTTTCATAGTATTCTAACTGTCTGTGATTTTGAATTGGGGATTTTCTTCAGCCATAAGCCAATCATCATGATAATAACAACCAAAGGATTGATATTTCTGGCTTTGCAAGTCTATCTCATGAATCAGTTTCCCCTTTTAAGTTGAATTATTGACATAAATGAACTTTTGCACCATATTGTAATTTATTGTAAATGTACGGATCTAGCACGCACACACACACACACACACACACACACACACACACACACACACACACACACACACACACACACACATACACACACACACACACACACACACACACACACACACACACACACACACACACACACACACACACACACACACACACACACATATGGGCTGTAAAATACAAATAAGAGTTCAATGCAACAAGGTGCAACTCATTCAGATAAGCAGAAGATTGAACATCTAGAAAGTTCCGTATGAGTCAAAGCTGCAGCAAATTTTTTATTTTATTCTATTAAAGAAAAGTGAAGTTTGTGATTTATTATTAAAAAATTTTATTGATTGATTCTGGGAGGGAAAATTAGCCCAACTTTATTGAATCCTAACAACGAACAGTTGCTCGTTCCTTAACAGATGTTTAGTTGCAAATCCATGTGCACATAATTACCTATCTGACTGGAAATCTGTTGGTAATGTTAGGATTTCATGAATTTTGCAAAATTTTTATTTTAATTTGACACTTGGCACTTCCTGTTCTTTCTTGGGTTTTCATTATTTATCATCACACCAGCCTGCATCCACTTAGTTCAGCACCACTTTGGGGAACTGTTTGCCTGCTGTACTGTAAAATCCTCTTAGATCAGGGCTAATCAACTCCAGGCCTCGAGGGCCGGTATCCAGCACATTTTGGTTTTAACCCTGCTTCAACACAGCTGATTTCAATTAGTAGGTGATTAACAGGCTTCTGCAGAGCCTGATGAGCTGCTGCACGGGTGAATCTAGTGTGATGGACCAGAGAAACCACTAAGACGTGCTGGATACCAGCCCTTGAGGCCCGGAATTGAATAGCCCTGATCTAGATGACATTCACCCACAATGGCAGGTTAACGAGGGCTGGGTTCCATTTCAAAAAGCTTCTGTTAATGAGAGGTTTCACAGAACAACCAGCATGTACGGCTGCAGAAGTGGAATACAGCCCTTGCAAACACACCACTTTCTCTGCTCTTCCAAGTAAAAACATCTGCTGTAAAATAACAATTTTTACTTTCCAGGTGGTGAACCTGATCCGGGACCTGGACACTGACTTCTCCATTCTGGGAAAGAATTATGTAAATGTCATCCAGGTGTCTGCACACCTGCTGGCTATGAGTTCCGCCTGTTACAACCCCTTCATTTACGCCTCGTTGCACAACAAATTCCTGTCCTACCTGTGTCTCCACCCACTGTCTCGTAGGAGAAAAGGAAAGGACCGAGGTCAGGGGTCAAGCACCATGACAGCTTCTCGCAGAATGCTCCGCCTCCACACGTCCACTATCATAGTGGATTTACCAGGTGTGGTTTTGAGTGACATTGTCCCACAAGAAAGCTGCACCTGAGTTGCTTTCCACGCTGAAGAAAATGTGTTACGTATTTAAAAAAATGCTGAAATCCTCAAATTTGGGCTGCAACAGGTCGCAGTTTCAAACAGCAGAAACCCACAACAAATAGATTTGTGTTTGTTTTCATTAAATATTCATCATAAATGTATGTTTGGTGTTTTCTTTACCCCAGAGAAGCTTGTCATACTCAGCCTGTGACTGTTTTAAAATATAAATTTTCATGTTTTCCCTGTTAGAGCTTTTTAACATCATGTTTTTGCTCATTTCTTTTCTATTTTGCTACAACTCACATATTAATTTATGCAGATGACTTGTGTAAATAAATAATATTAATAAAAATAGAATTTTTTTAAATTTCAATCAATCAATCAATCAATCAATCAATCAATCAAAGCTTTATTTATAAAGCGCCTTCCGCAACCCTGTCAGGAAACCCAAAGCGCTGAACCTGGACCTGAAAGTTCTGAAAGAAATTTCACTTTCTTTCAGAACTTCTTATGTCTGATTAATGAATTTAATCTAAGTTTTTCACATTTTCAGCTGCACCTGAGGCGTCCAAGCTGTCCATGTGCAAAAAGCTGTATAGCATGTGTAAATATCCAGTTTGAGGTGGTAACAGAGGTTATAGGATCCAAAACCAGTGAGGTTTACTACATCATTAGAATGATTACGCACAAACCTGAATAAAAACTCACTAAAATGTCAGAAAAACAATTATTTAATCAATGAAATCTGAAAAATCTTCATATTACAATAATATGTATATCTACAAAATTCACATAGGTGTAGGGAAGCTGTGTGTCGTGTTTTTTACCCAAACTGCTGCATCGATGCATCAATGGAGTGTGAACTCAAGTACCAGGAGCTTTGAGCTTTTCAAGTTATTTTCTTTTTTTCAGCTCGTAACAAGCAGCTAAACAAGTTTCCTTGTGAGTATGAAAAGCTATAGTTTCTCTGCTTGTCTGACCTCATTTGCTCCATGAGATGTGAGAGCTGCCGAGCTGTAACGAGCTCAAGAATCACATTTTTGGGGCATTTTTGAAACCTACGTTATAAAAACAGTTGTATCACCTCCATTTCTGAGTGTGTTTGTCTCATTTGGAGCCAAGTTGCTCAGAGCCCAGAGTCTCACAACACCCACATGTCCAAAGCAGATGAGATAAAAGCAAAGACTGGGGTGAAAACAACACTGGCCCTGATTAGCGGTGGATGTGGCCACCTGTGGGTACATCTAGTGCTGTGATCTGAGTGAGAGGAAATTTGAGGAGAAGGAGGAAAAGGAAGGGTGAGTTCATCACGAAGTGTCATCTCTGTAGGTTTTTATTGATTTTGCTCCAAACGCTCTTTCAGGGGATGAAACATAAAATGAATCCTGTCATGCAGCCATGCAGGAGCAGTGCCAGAAGGTGTTTTATTAACCAGAAACAGCTGATTTATAGATTTGAACAAACAATTGAAAGGTGCGATGGCTTGGTTTAGTAATCCTGCTGTAAAATTAAAGACTAACAGCTCCAATGCACTTGTTCCATGCAGGTTATTGTGAATAAACCTTTGTTAGTGAAGCTGTTAAAGACGACCAGACAAGCTAAAAACAATTAAAGTGACAGATTATTTGATCTGCTTTCATTATACATGAATCAGTTGCTTCAATTGCAAGATGATCATCCTTAGAAATAAGTCTTCTTTAGAATGAAAGTGACCTTAAAATAATAAAAAGATGACACACTCAAGAAATGAAATAAAGAGAGGATCATTAGTGAGTCTGCAGCTTCATCCCCATCTCCTCTGCATCGAGATAAAAAGCTTTTTATGTAGGATATTTTTGAGCAACAATGACCTAAGGCACCCTTTTTCTGTGATTTTGAACTACTTAAGAACAGATTCTTGAGTCTGTTCCCATTATGATGTAAAAATAAATGTGAGACTTAAAAAGAAGCGTTTTCAGAGCAAATAAAACAAAAACAATAAAATCCTTTGTTTATGGCACTTTTTACTCGCATCAGTGAGATGCCTCCTGCTGTGGATTCACAGCTGCAGCATAAGAGCGCATTCAAGGTGGACACTTTCGCAATAAGCCCGAATTATTACTGTCTGTCTTCAGAAAGCATGAACTCTGGATGTGTGGTGATTTATTTCTTCAATTTCCATAAATATGGATGGAAAAGCAAGCAAATTCTACATGAAACCAGGTGAGAATACAGAAAATGCATTTATGTTTTAAAATGTGTTTTTATGTGTTTAAGCAAAGCATAGATAGATTTGAGAATAATAGTGAATAGCACACAGAGAGAGCAAGCAGAATTCAGAAAAAGAGGAGAAAGGCGTAATGAGTCAGATTGATGAAAGATGTTGCAGGTGTGTGATGGAAACACAGCGTGAGCACACCTGCTCTCACTCTGGGTATAGAAACTTGATTTGAGCAAACTGGAAAGTCTTTGAAGAATGTAACTTATTTTTCCTTAAAGTGGGGTTTCCTCTTGGGAAAAATGAAAGACAGACGGATCGATGCTTCATCGATCCTCTGAGGAAAATTACTTTGGCAACAAAATACCTGAAAAACATTTAAAATTCAAAATTTAGTGGTGCAAACAACTAAAATAAATTAATTTGTCCAATGACCATGATTTTTCTAGCCTTACTAATGGGTTTATTGAGCCTTCTGGCATCTTTGACACTGAAACTCAGCAGATGGCTGCTGTCAGCACAGCCTGATGGAAGGTTTGTAACATTTTACTGCACATGTCCAGGTTTGAGCCTCCTCACAAAAGATGATCCCTTGTGTTTATTGCTTTTTGGGGGTTGGTTGTCAAGCATTTGCTGCAATAGTTTCAGACCTTTTAATGCATTTTGTCAGTGATTGTCTGCATAAATGATCTTTAATGTGCATTCAAACATTCTGATTGAATATTTATTCACCTCAACAATTTGCACCCAAAATTGAAAAGAAGCGTGTTAAAGCTTGCAAAATAAATGTATTTATTCATCTCTTTTGAATATCTTAAATGTTTTGCATGAACAGGATTTATATGGCTTCCAAACGGATGTAATATGAGACATGCTGCAGTTATATCTAATACGAGTGATTAAACGTTGTTTTCCAGTCTTTCAACTCATTTTGTAACAAACATATCCAGGCAAACTGCTGCGATAAAAACTAATGACCACAGGGTGGCTCTACAGGATTAATCTGATATTTCAACAAGAACATTATTAAAAAATAAACTATTATTTACATAAATATTATAGGAAAAAGCTAAATAAAGTTTTCTCTAGTGTCTTGAAACAAAGCTCTAATTTAATCTATAAATGTAGATTTTTTTTTTACACTTTAGATAGTATACCACGGGGCAATAAGTCTCAAAATGTGAGACATCCTCTCCTCAGTTAACTCACAAGTCCTTAATGGGTTTTATTATCAAAAATGGATTTTTGCATGACATTAAATAATTTTCAATTCAATTTCCGGTGAAAACAAACCCAAGATGCAACTTCCTTTTTAAATAAACTATTTAATGGCTGACAACAATAAAGCATTTATTAATTCTCCAGTAATACCATAATAATCATTTGCAGGTGTCTTATCCTCCACCAGAGGGCAGAAGACACCTGCAATTTAGCAATTTATTAGAAGAAAACAAAAATAATATTAGAGCAACTTGGGGAATAATAAATAATGTCATAAAAAGAAATCAAATAGCTTCAACTGTTCCAAATTATTTTGAAAACGGACAGTCTGAAATTAGTGAAACCAGTAAAATAGTAAATGAATTTAACAATTTTTTTACTAATGTGGGACCTGACCTGGCAAAAAACATTCCAAAAAGAACAAATTATAGTATAGGTGAGAATATCAAAAGCAATAAAAACAGTATATATTTAAGTCCAGTAACTAGTGATGAAATAAGAAATATTATCAATAATTGCATCAATAAAAGAAGTACTGACTGTGATGGTTTAGACATAACATTAATAAAAAATATAATAGAAAGTATTATTCATCCATCGACTTACATATGTAATTTATCTTTTGCAACAGGGACATTTCCTAACAGGATGAAAATTGCAAAAGTCATACCACTTCATAAAAGTGGAGACAAACATATCTTTTCCAACTACAGACCAATATCTTTATTGTCACAATTCTCAAAAATATTAGAAAAATTATATATTGCCAGGTTGGATCGATTCCTGATCAATGAAGAGATATTAAATGACAGTCAGTATGGTTTTAGAACAAATCATTCAACATCCATGGCATTAATGGAATTAACAGAAGAAATATCGGAAGCCCTTGACAAAAAAAAATCATCTCATAAGTATCTTTATTGATTTAAAAAAAGCATTCGATACAGTGGATCATACAATTCTTATTAAAAAAACTTTGTAAATATGGCATCAAAGGGATGGCTCTAAAATGGATAACAAGTTCTCTTACCGATAGGCAGCAATATGTTCAAATAAACAACACAAACTCACATATAAATAACATTACTTGTGGTGTACCACAAGGGTCGGTATTGGGCCCTAAACTATTTATCATTTATATAAATGACATTGTTGAGGCATCCAATATATTAAAATGCACCTTATTTGCAGATGATACAACTTTTTACTATTCAGGAGATAATGTTGAGCAGATGATAGAAGTGATACAAACAGAGATGAAAAAAATTAAACTATGGTTTGATGGGAACAAACTATCATTAAACAGTGATAAATCCTGTTTTATGATATTTAGTAATACAAATTCAAATGATGAAATTTTATTGAATATAGATGAGATTAATATTCAAAGAGTTCAAGAAGTCAAGTATCTGGGAGTCATCATTGATGAAAAACTGTCATGGAAACTACATATAAACAGTGTCAAAACTAAAATATCTAAAACGATTGCACTGTTACATAGAGCAAAAGGGTTGCTTGATAATAATTCATTATATTTGTTATATAACTCACTGATCGTACCATACCTGAACTACTGCATTGAAATCTGGGGAACAACATATAAAACTTACACAAATTCCATTTACATCTTACAGAAAAAAGCAATAAGAATAATCACAAGGAGCAACTACAGAGATCCGTCCAATCCATTATTTATTAAATTAAAAACACTAAAATTCTATGATCTGGTGGACTACAATATTTTAAAATTTATGTATAATGCAAACAAAAGGAACGTACCTGCAGGATTAATTAAACGATTTTCAAAAAGACATAGCAAATATGATTTAAAGGGACATGAATTATTTAATATACCTAGACATCGGATACTCGTAAAGGAACATTGTGTCTCCATATATGGAGTTAAATTGTGGAATAAA